CAGGAGTGGCCTTTTAGGAGCCTTTCCTCTTGACAGTTTAATTTAGGGTCTGTCCAAATGGCAAGTCATTGCCATCCTCCCACTCTCATGGAAACTATTAGCCAACTACTTTATAGAGAAGCCCGTAACATTTAGCATCCCCTCCCCTGCACGATCCAAACCCAGGGACCATCTACAGCCAACACTAAAGCACACAGAAACACACATGGCCCTAATCATGGGTATGTAGTCAGAGTAAGCTTACACACAGTACTTAGCCCAGAAAGTATTTAGTCCTTGTTCCATGGAGATATTCAGCCACCTTTCCTCTAGACCTGAACAACTGCACTGCAATTAATGGAGCAAATGCCTCCAGAGCCCCCATGGCTGCAGGAGCTGCCAGGTGAGTGGGGTTAGGGAAGCAATTAGGAATTCTTAACCCAAATTAAGATTAATCACACCCAGGTCACCCTCCAGCACATGAATATTCTGTCACAAGCACCTGATGGATTCATACCGTGCTTTTTTGGACCACATTAATGGGATAGTGCTTTATGAAATACTGCCATCAAATAGCATTGCCTGTGTCTCTATTTCAGACCTACATAGGAACTGGGACACTAAAGCAATCTAGTTTCTGGGGAAAAATAATAATGAGGTTACGCAGACTTATCAGCGGGACATTTCCTTGTCTGTATTTAACTTAATGAGGACTGCAGAAACTCTGTATAAAAATAAATAAATAAGTCAGCATAACTAAGAAAAGCCATTTTGCATTTCTGTAGCAAATACAGCACTGGTATCTCAGGCACGTAGAAGTGCCCAGCAAATAACAGGCTGCCCTAACGCAGAGCACCACCCTGGCTCCGGGAAGCCCATGGAGGGTGAAGGGACAGCCGGACTACCGCTAGACTGGACTGGGCTTATACAGTTAACTAAGACAAAAGGAAAACCAGCACAGTGCACAGGTTCTGCCCAAGGGTAGAAACCAAAGCCTGAAGCATATTCATGTGTTGACCAGCTTACCGAGACAGATGCTTCCTATACCATTTCCATTCATATGGAACAAAGTTAGCTATGCACAGGAACCATTCCAGAATCTTCATCAAGATGTACCTTAATACACTGTGTGTTACATAGCCACGCAAATCAGATATTAACAGAGTACTAGGAATACAAATTCTGACAACTTTTAAGATGAAAGGGCAAAACTGAGGAACGACTGAGGTTTCAGAATGCAGCAGTTTAAAAACGTATTAAATAATTCTTCAGCTGCGAGACAGCTGCCGAGGTCCTCTTGTTTGTTAAATAGCAGAGGGAGTAACAGCAGCAATGCTGTAACACCAACCCGCATGACTCAAGATTTCTATCTCTGGAAGAGCCTCAGAAGACAGGCAAGTCCTCCCTGAAGAACACCAAGTTGAGTAAGTATTTTGCTTAGAGGAGAGGTGTGGAAAGGAGCAGACCAAAAATCAGTCCCACAGTGACAGCTGTGCCACAGAGGAGGAAAAGAGTTTTCCTGTAGCAAGACATTCCTCAATCCACTCCAGGAAATCTTCAAATTATTCCACAGCAAATAAATCATATTCCCTTAATTCACACCCTTTTTTTTTTTTTTTTCTTTTCTAAAGGATTGTTTAGACCTCTTCATGTTCCAGCAACAGCTGATCTGTTATAGTCAGTATTTGCCCCATCTGTTCTTTTTTATGCTCAGAATCTTTGTGTACCCAGTAACCTGTTCGTTTTTATTAACAGAATCCATCTTCCTGTTAGCTAATCTGAAAAAAATAGAGAAAAGTTATTTTCATCTATTACCCTTATCTCAGACCGCCTGTCCTGGCATCTCATTCCACAGAGCTCCTATTATTTACCCAATTCAAGTATTCTGAGCTCTTTCTGGGTGTTCCCACACCTTATCTGATGCTCGACCACATCCACAAGGTTGAACTTTGCTTCGGTATGCAGAACTTGTGCTCTGCCAACCCATTTAGAGTCAGACTGACAACATCCTAGGGATCCTAAAGAAATTAGACCAGCGCTTCCTTGCAGAAGTTTTACTTTAAGTGAACGAGTGGAATAACTTTCAAGAAACATCATCCCAGCCAGCCAGCCTCTGAAAGTAGAAGGAATACAAACAACACTGACTTGCATAAGCCATTGCCTCTAGCTTCCCATCTAGGGAAGAGTGGAATTTATTTCCTGAACTTTGTATTTCCATTTTGTAGCTTCCTTAACTGCGCTGTT